TATTTTCGGCGGTAATTGAAAATCCACCCTAGTCGCCGCCATTTCGTCCAGGAATTTATTTATTTATTATTATTATAACCATCATCGTCGCCGCCGCCACCGCTTTCGTCGCGCGCGTTATTATATTGTCGTGCTCGCTGAACGGAGCACTGTAATAAACCTCTCTCGATATAGTATTATTATATTATTATACTTTGTATTTTATAGGGCGAACGTTTAATGTTCATTAAACCAATTCGAGGACTTTATACGTTCACGGGGACGAAGTAAATCACCTCCGAAGCCTTTTATTATTGCGTATTGTTTATGTACACTTATGTATATATATTATATATAGTATATACATATAAGATTCAACGTCCTAAGGTTCCTTCGCCCCAATATTCATATAATATTATTTGTTTATTACATGACATGTATACATTTGACGTGTTTTCACTGTAGACATGTCATTTTGTTCTTTTACGGTCTTAATAAATACGACTCCTCACGTTTTTTAAATACGTTTTTTAACTTTCATTTTTTATGTTTTTTAATGAATTATTTTATTTTTAACAATAAGCTAGTGATTTTTCATACATATACCGCAAGTATACATAATATTTTATAAAAATGTATTGTTAAAAAAGTGTAAAAACAAAATTTTTAAATTTTTATCTAACAAATAATAAGGGTTATGTCAACACGGGATAATAATAATACATGAACTGCATACAAATAATATAATATACACAACAAATACATAAAATTACAATGTCGGTTACAAAATATGAAGAAGTACGTTACGTTCTTTTCTCTCAATAACGTTTTATATGCGCATTACAAAGCAATATTATAGATACATGTAACAATAATAACAATAATAGTAATATAGGTAATATAATATTATCATTATTATATGACGATGAAACCGTTCGAAATTAGCATAGAAATAGAATATGCTTAACTCGCGTTTTTGAAGTTTCATATATATTATGTATTATATAACATAATATTTAATATAATATTATATACGCCAAAGAGGCTGTATAATATTTAATGTATGTCAAATGTGTAATAATGCAAGCAAGCACGAACAATCAACGTCAGACAATAAATTATATAATATATTAATATAAAACAAATACTATAATATACTATATTATACCTAAAACTGGTAAGGGTTAGGGTTTTTTCTATTACTTAATGCAAAAGTTCTTGAAAAATATAATTTAGAAAACTTTATTTGTATCAATAATTCAAGTAATTCAACAACCCAGTCCTTAAGAGACCGGTTCGAGTAGTGAGGATAGCTAATCAACTACGCGCTACAAGTCAGTTTGTTGCCATTAGAAATTCAACGGTAAAGATTGGAAAATATATAGGGAAGACTATTTATGTATAGACTCACGACTCACAAGTGCATAACTGTAACAGTGAAATTATGTACATACCATACTCATAGACTTCATACTCTGCGTTTAAGGTCTATGATACATGGTACTTACATTTATAATATACATATTTAAGTCAAAGACTATTTAAGTGTATGATAATGCGATAATTATTACAACAGCAAAAGAATTCTGACAAAAAGATTCAATCGTACTGAACTCCGTTAAATTTTAACAGGACTCAAACAACAATAGATACATTGTAAACTCAGTTTGTGTTATTGCTGGAAAATGTATCAATGATTTTTGGTACGATATTCCCTAATAATTTTTAATTTGTAATATAATAAGTTGGATGTTTATTATTATTATTTATTGACCTTGCTTTTAGTACATATAGTTACAGAGCAGATTTGTAACATATTGTTATAACACAGTTTACACAGAATAGATATTATCTTTATTCTATACAGTTAATTATGCATATCATATTATTTTTTTCTTTTGTAAAAAACGATCTAATTATTAGTTGTGATTACTATAATTACAATTTATGCCAATTCAAGTGCACGTAAACTAATATTCAATTCATGATTTAAAATTAATTTTATTCAGTCAGGGTTAACAAAATTGGAAACTATTTAGATGTTTAATATTTTAAATATCGAAGTTAGTATAAATCAAAATACTGTTACTTCAGTATCCATTTTCGTTATAAAAATACTTACATATTGCAAATTATTTGAAAATTTAACTTTTTGAATTTTTTTTTTTTTTACCAAAAAATTAGTCGAATTGGCTAATATTGCCAAATGAAAAAAATAAACAAAAATCTTTTGAAACTCATAAGAAAGCTATTAATAAACAATGTATTGAGACAAATTTTTTCATACTTAATTATTATAATAAAAAATACTTAAATGAATTGTTGAAATAAATAAATAAAATAATGATATACAAAAACTGATTTGTATATTGAAATTTTTAAAGAGTCTAACAACTATAAACTACTTAGTTATCACTCAAAAATCAATCTGCTTTTTGAAAAAAAAAAATGTTATAATGAACTACCTTTTTTGCAAAAATACTAAATTTTCAAATGTCCTACGATATATTTATTAACAAAAAAAATTTATATTGGCTACTCAACATGAAATAAAGGAAATCGTAATCAAATTTTTCTTAAACTAATTTTACCTACTTACGTAATAATTATAGGGTATATTTTTTTTGGTAACTTTTTTAATTTTAAAACAGTTATGAGATATAATGAAAAGTGAGCAAGTAGGTAACCGTTTTGTTGTGTTATTAATTTTATTATTATGTAATAGTATACAATATTTGTATCACATATTGTTGCTATTAAATTCCGTATTAATAAAACTTATGAAAAACCATGGGAATATTAATTTTTCATGCTTTTCTATGAAGTCTAAAAAGTTTTTTTTTTTAAATTAGGAATAAAGCAGACTCCAAAAACTTGGGTCATAAGCCTACAAAGTCGTTCATGGGTTTTATAATATCTATATTGTTTTTCATATAAATAATAATAGTAAATACATTTTTTTAAGATTTTAGAAGTAAGCATATACATATATTTACAATTGAATAATTAATTTATAATAGGTTTGTAAGTATAATAATGGAGTTGTAAAAATTATAAAAAACATCTGTGTTAATTTCTTTTAACACTTTATCCATGTTAATAGGGTGACATAAGATGTGCTGTTCATCATTGTACATGAAAGAGAAAAGTGTCAGAGGTCCAATATATTGATGAAAGATTGGCTGTTCTTTTTAGTTGACAAAATGATAATATTATATAAAACATGTATTGTAAATTCTATATCTAATGTTCACTATATGCGGGCTGTTTTAATGGGTGTCACTATTTTTAGATGGTTTTTTATATTTTTTAATTTGTTGTCTGTTCCGCAGATCTATTGAGATTACCGTTGTTGTGCAGAGATTCTGTTTACGGTTTTCAGAAGATATTTATAGGTTAATGACTTTATTTCGATTGATTTAGACGATATAATATAGCTTGGATAGCTAATAGGTTAACTTCTTCATTTCTTGCATTACCCTGTGTGTGAGAGGACCCAAATATTATGCTAAATAATATTTTTTGAGTTGGCTTTAATATTGAATAACTATCTGGAGATTTTATTTGATAGATTCATTGATAGAAAAGAAATTATGGTGTATAAAAAGTCACTTATGATAAGAGCTTCAATAAAGAGAACAAATTCGACGTAGATAATTACTTTTATAATGATTTTAATTTCTTTAATGAAGATATTAGCCTAAGTAGGGAATTTATATGCTAACGCTTCTTCGGTCTCAATCTCAATCCTTAGATCAACAGATGACGTTTTACATTATCGTTATGTCTGCTCATATAGTTATATCCGCAACTATATTCGGCGATAGTTTTTTGAAATCTGATCGAGTCATTAGATAAATAACATAATAAAAACCATAGTAAGATTTTTGGAACTTGGTATATGTGTAATATAATGTAGCCATCTTATTCTTAGTAAAGTTGCTATAAAATCTTCGTAGGAGAATACTTCAGAATTTAAATAAACCTTCAAGGTTTTTGATTTTACAATGATCAAAACATGACATTGCTTTACTCATACTGTTTTTTCTGTTAGTCTGAAATCCGATTATAGCATACCGATGATTTTCTAATTTCAAAATATGTGTGACGACGCTTGCTCTCAACATGGAGCTATTATAATTGGGCTATACTTAGAGTAACAAAATATTTATTTATAAATAATAAAATAATAATTATAATAATAAATATTTTATAAGGAACAGATTGCGGCCGGTCGCGCTGGTCGGTAAATATAATATTATTATACGTAGGTACGGTTTACGTCGCCGACAACAATGTGATTCAGCAATAATTATGGTAATACCAAGAATCAAAAAATACTAGTGAAAAATATAGATTCTTATATTATTCCATAAAATACAAAAATATCGTAAGAAACGACTTTTTTTCTAAAATCAATTTCAAAAGTTATAAATTATAACAGTAAGGCAAAAAACGGGATTAATACGGGACAGACTTCAAAAAACGGGACAAAAAGCGTCCTAGAAGAAGATTGTCAGGAAAACAGGACATAAAGTTGAAATAAAGGTAAATGATGTATAAAAAATGACGTATGGTTATCCTAGTCTAGCACAAATAACTACTTGCGCTTTGCAGTGTCGAGTGGAAAGACGATCGGATAAAATTCATATCAATTTACTTTATAGGAGTGGGGATTAAGGAAGCATTATTATAATTGGTGGTATACATAAAATCGTGTTTTGCGGTAGCCATCTAAACTAACATAATATGTATATATTATACTGTTAAGTTTTTAATAAAAAAAAAAAATACACATGATATTCCCCGTGTTTAATAATTGGTTAGTGCAAAAAACAAATATATGTGTTTAACATAACTGTTATTTCATAAAACAAAATAATAAAACACAACAAAATTATATAAATGAATTGCATTCAGTGTAGCATTAAAAAAAAAAAAAAAACTTACATATTGTGTAACATAACAATAAATTTAATGATAACAAATATTTTATTGTTTCTAAAATGCATGAATATGAATTATGTAAATAATTTTATTATTGCTGTATAGTACTTAAATGTTTAATCAGTTTCCCAAGGGCGCTTTATTTCTACAATTAAAGTAAAGCAATTATAAACTTCATTTTTTTTACTATAAATTACACGAAATTTGTATGTTCCATAAAAAAATGATTTAGGGAAATTGGAATCCATGAAAACAGATGTATCTGCGCCGACTACAGGATAATAACCCTGAAAAAATAAATCAGTTTTTTTTCTTCTTTATAACAAATCATTCATGTAAAATACACGAAAATAATGAACTAGAAAAAATATAATAAATATTAAAAGAAAAAATAATTAAATAGTGATATATTTCAATATATCACTATAGACGCTTAGCAAAACTAAATTATATTAATTTAGGAAAAAAACTAAAAATTGTATTAAAAACAATTTTAGTTGAGTTTGGATAACATTGAAATTGAATGATTTTATTTTGATTTGATTTATTTTAATAAGTGCATATTATATGTTTATACATTTAATATAGTTATTATCTATTATTATTTTTTAAATCATTATTATAACAATCCATTTCAAAAATCTACTTCCAATTCAACGCTTGAAAGTTTTGTGCTTGTACTTAATGAATATTTTATCAAAAAAAAAAACTCAAGTTAATGTAAAAATAATAACCACTAAAAAGTAAATCAGCGAGTCTCAACTATTAAGATTATTTTAAATATCAAAAAATTCTATAGAAAATAAAATATTCCTTCTACATAAACTACGATAAGACTAATTTAATATTTATACTATTAATTTTATTTATAGAACACTTCCATACCACAGCAAAAGGGCAAGTCGCATTGTAAGTTCCTGAAGATGCCATTACTGGAGTCCAAGCACGTCCCAAGAACTTTTTTAGTGACGAACAAGCCTTGGGTGTCTTATATACAAAAGCGTTTTCCTTCCAACCACCTATAGAATCTTTTACCGCCAAATTAAATTCCAGCTATAAAAAAAAAAAAATTTATTAATTTGACAAAAATTGGTTTATTCGTTAATTAAACGTTAGTTATAAACTATATGTATAGAATCACAGGATTAAAGTTTGCCCAATAGTTCTAATAACTAAACTTACATCAAGAGTATCATCAAATGGTACATAATTAGTTACGTTTCCTTTTATTTCTGTGGTATTGGCAGACTTTTTGCTTAGGTACAATTCATATTTTATTTTATTATTTGTTTGCACAATATCACAACGCGTTATTGCTAAGAAATTTAATCGGTATTTACCCTGAAGAAAAATATTAAATTTTTTTGATTAGTATTGTACAAAAGTATATTCGTTTCAATAATATGGTCATTGAAATGGAATAAATAAAACAATATTAACGTATTTAAAAATTAGTTACTTACAAATGGTAACTGTGGAAGAGATAAACGTTTACCTGTATCTGAATTAACAACAATTACAAAAACAATAAGATTGATTAAAAAACACTTCATTTTTGGTTTAAAATATTGTTATTATACGAGCATTAATGCAGTTTTCTGTTCTACTGTTATTCAGAGTCAAATCATTTCTGGTCTAATAATATCTAATTATTTATATTTATTATATCAGTAATGATTTGTACGTATATTATTATTAATTATTGACCTTGTTTTCAGTAGGATTGTAGTATTTTTTTAATGTCGATTACAAAATTTAGATATTATCTATTCAGGTAATGTGCAAATTTAATTTTAAATTAAATTTTGTAAAAAGTTACATTTGTTACTAAATATGATGAAAATTCAAGATAATTTATTTTATTTGCACTTAGTAATAACATTAGAATTTTATTCAAGAGTCTGGTAAATTGTATTTGGTTAGACTAAATGTAATTGTAGATAATCTTTTTGGTTATATTATTTAATTATGTAATATTATAGTACTCGTAGTTATCAAAGTTTTCATTTTATGATCTTTAGTTAAATCGTGAGATTTATTTTTTATATCTAATCTCTCATCAGAATTTTGTTCGTTGCTAGCGAATAACTTGTAAACAGATGAATCAATTAAGCTCTTATTGTTTTTAAATGTTCATAATTATCCGAAAAAAGTTTTTACAGGAAGCAAAATTGAAAAATTTGGGAAAAACAAAAAATACTTTTTTCGATGGAATTTTGTATGAATTTGCAACCATATACATGTATAACGTTCCCTGGATTAGCTATAAAAATATAAAAATATATATGACCAAAGTAACGTTTATTATTTTATTTATAATAGATATCTATATATTTATTGTAATTAATAAATTATAAATCTATACTTATGGAGACTAAAAAAATATAAAAAAAGTTTATAGCGTCTAACTTAAAAAATCAATATGTTGTTTATTTTCATACACTTTAAGCAACTTTTATATGTGACATGTGTGTGTGTGTGTAACAAGTGACGACTAAATACAGACTAAATAATCAAAATAAAAAAAATTAATAACCATAATTGATACTGATTAAGTAAGATATAAGAAAATAGTATATGATTTAAAAATAATACAAATCTATGGATATTATCAAATGATACAATCTGACTACAATAAAGTAAAACATGGCATAATTATTTGGAAATTAAGTTACAAGAAAATAGAATAAGGAAAATATAATAGCCTACCAACCTGTTACTTTATTGTTTGGTTCAAATTTCATTTTATTAAATAATTTTTTTAAACTATTACTAATTAGGTGATCATTATTCTTCATCTGCTTGTTATTTACATAAGATATATACAGTGCAATGCGTATAAATTTTAATTACATCAATAAGAATAATGATTCGTTAAAAATATATGCACGAACTTAAGGGAATTTAAAGCGGTAATTTTCTGTTTTTGCATCTTGCCTTGCACAGATAGAATACAAAAATCTACACATATTTTCATTCTAACTTACCGATTAATTTAGTAAAGTAAAAATATTCTAAAAAACAGATTTGAATTCGTCGTAAAGTCTACTTGAGATCGATTTTTCCACATTTTTGATTTTATCTTCCTAAATCCTTAAAGTTGTAATAAAAAATTTTAACTAAAAAAATGGAATATTAAACTTTTAGAGAAGTTAAAAACAAAAATCTCGGAAAATACGATCTTAAGTATATTTGACGAAAATTTTAAATCTGTTTTTATAATTTTATCGCTTTACTAGATCAATTGGTACGTTAGATTGAAAAACACGTTCAATTTTCTTTAGTTCTCATATAATAAACAAAGATAAAGAATTAATGTTTCAAATCCCCTTAAAAAAAAAAATTAATTTAATAATAGTATATTATATAACAAATTACTATCGTACGAATTATAATATCATTTGTAATGACAACGGTTATAATACTTATAACTTAAAAACACCAGGTAACGCAGAATTACCCGATATTATATTATATTATATATTATATATCATATTCATGATCAAGTCCCAGGTGAATGGTGTTTTCAATATGATATGACGATATTTACGGTTTACGCGTATAATAAAACTCGAGAACGCGACTCATAAACACTATTTTTAAATATTTTGAGATTTAGACGGTGAAAAAATCTGTATACAACGTAACACGTGTTTGACGAGCGTTTTGAGTGTCTCAAGTGACATTATGTCTCGGCACACGATGAGTCAAAGGATTTTATCATAATATACGAGTGTACATGTATTATTTGAGGATTTTAATGTGGCGTCGGCTTCACACAAAAGATTGGAGTAAGGACATAAATACAAATAATTTTTTAATAATATATTATGCTACTAAGTAGCAACATCGAAATACGGAATGTGGCAAATAAACTCAACGATATGCAGGCGGACAATAATATTCTTCCGTCTGGTGATGAGTTGTGCTGTGAGCTGCGGAAGTATTATAATTTATAATTATCTCGGCTTATTAACCGTAGTGAAATACGAAAAATAAAAATAAAAATATCTTAGTAAAATATAAAATCACTGTCATACTTCGTGACATGACATCAAGCTTGTTTAGTAAATACCTATATATATATTTATAAATAGAACATAGGTATTATATAGATATCATCACTCTTGTTACATTCCGGTTATAATAAACACGATAATCACGATAATTTTTTTTTGATCATATTATACAAAATAATTATTATTTCAACGTATAATAAATGTGTATTTTATTGTCTACAAAAAAAAAAAATCCATATCACAATAAATTATCATGAATAATTGTAATCATAGAGAAGTTAAGATATTTATCATAAATAAAAAAGAATAATAGTAAATAATATCAGTGCATAAATATTTAATTTTCATAAATTTAAAAAATTTAAAAGATAATTTAGATAAATTATCTTCTACAACAAAACTGAAATCAAGGTCAATAAATAAACATAAAATATAACATACCAAACTATTATACTAAAAATTAAAAAAATATATATTATTATTGAATCAAAAAATAAATTATTATTTCTTAAATTACATGAAACGAGTAATATTCTATACGTTATTCTTCCATAAAGATGTTATAGGTGATTAACATTTAATAATAAGTTGAAAAAATATAATAATATTTAATTTATGAATAACGAATAAGATACTAAATAATTTAAATAAAAGTAACGTCTAATGTTTGAGAATAAAATCAAGTGCCGTTTTCTATATCGGGAAGGTTTATATAGACAATGATGGGTAAGTAATTTTAATGGTATTTCATTAGTTAAACATAATTTAAGATAATATAATATCATACAATTTAATTTTAACCTATGACCAGGCATATAATATATACATATTATATGCCCGTTATTCGAGTATAATTTTGAATTATACTGGTATTATATACTATAATATCAATTACCCGTAAGATATATCTTTGTATTGTCATTATATTTTGTATTGTGTGATAGGGACGGCACAGCGAGACCACAATAAAAATTAACTTATCGGTGTTGTAAAATATAATCAATATCCTTATAAATGTGTTTAATGTAAAATGTTCTATTTAATTAATATTCTTAAATCTAAATATTTTATATTATGATTATATACATATAACGTATAAAGCATATTATACAAACTCGCGGTATAACCAATTTCAAGGACCGAGCAAAAAGTTCATTACATCGAAATTCATTATATCAAAACTCAAAACAAAATTCGTTTAACATGATTTAAAAGAAAATCAAAATTTATATTTTATTAAGTTGTTACAAAAACATACATATTAGATATAATTATTTTATTATATAAATACATACTTACATAAATAATTATTTATTAATAAATATATATTTTATATTTGTTATGTATATATATATATATATATTTATTTATTTCAAAAATTTTTTTTTTTTTTGTATGTAGTCACTTTTGCTTACCTGGTCAATAGTGTTGTTCAAATTTAAAATGTTACAAAACACACTGAGGTCGATATCATATCTCTATTTATCTTTATCTAAGGGTGATCGCAGAGATCTGGTTTGCTTCTTTCGAGGATACAGAGGAATCTTTAAGATATTCTTCTTCGGAATCAGAATTGATTAAAATCTTATCGTCATTATGAGAATCAAAGTCTGAAAGTCTGCCAACTCGTAGTCATTATACACCAACAGGCGTGTTTAATGTTTGATGTGTGTGATATGCAATAGTTTTTATATCATTACAAACCTATAAGCAAACTACTACCTAAAATAACATGGTTGAAGTTAATATAGATTAACTTATCCGTGAACACTTAACATAATAATATACATAATATAGAAAAAGAAATTATATAGATATTGTCATTCGTGTTACTATTCTTGCTACTAATAAACACGGCAGCCGTCCTAACTATACTACGATTTAATGTATTTTCTACGACTACGATATTTATACAACAGCTAACTGATTTTAACGAAATTGAATGTAGTAATAACTAATATGATAGTCGTTAATTCATAAGTGTATGTTATTTTATTGGATGATAGGTAAACCTCATAATTTAATAATTTGACTGCAATTTTCTACGTTATAAGAATTTAAAATTTTTTGAAATACTACGACTATTTAGTCACGCAAAAACATAGTACCTATAAACTTTTGAGCAATATTTACATACGTAGATACATAATTTGCGCTTATATTAAGTTATAAAAATAAACTATGTACCGTGTTTACATAAATTAATTTGTTACATAATATATTTATTATTTATAGAAAAGATATTATATTAAATTAAAAAAAATTATATTAACAGCAATTGTCTACATTCCCTGTGTCTAGGCCCATAATTTTTATCGGATTTTTATCAAACATCCGGTGACCAACGCAACAACGGACTTGGTATGTATATACATATACTATATAGGTACCAATTATATGTTTATTACGACTATTGGAACGGATGTTGATGCGTAAAACGTTAGTAGGTACCTATGCGGAAAACGAATGAAGGAAAATAATAAAAATATGTTTATCATTCGTTTTTTATCCGATTTTTATCGGCACTATACAGGTATTATACATATCGTGTATATTATGTGATATTTAAAAAAAAAATGTTTACGCAATAAA